GCGGGGGGGGGGGGGGGGGGGCCACGGGGGGGGCTCCGCCCTGTCCCCGCCACCCTGCCCCTTGTCCCCAGCGCCCGGGCGCGTCCCCAGGACAAAGTGCGGGGACGTCGCCCCTTGGCCCCGGCCCAGCACCCATGGGTGCCCGCGGGGAGGGAGGGGGCAAAGGACCCCCCCGCGCCACCCTCTTTGCAAACATCACCAAGGGGGAGCTGAAAACCCCCCTTTTGCACCCAAATTCTCACGCAAAAGCAGCGTTAAATGAAGTTAAATGCCTTTCCCGAGCATAATGATATTTTTTTAAAAAATCATTCCTTTCCAGGGAATAAGGAAATAAATATTCCACGGTATTCCCGGGAAGGAAGAGGAGGATCAGGAAAGGACGGAGCCTCGGTCACATGAGAAAGGATACGGATTTATTGCTGCGCTTAAAAACCCCAAAGCGGCCGCTTTGGGCTCGAATCACCGGCCTTTTTTTATTATTATTTTGCAAACCCAGCCTTTCCGATCCGAAAAATTCCAGAAAAATAAACTTAAACAAAATAAAAGGTGGTGAGGCAGCTCGAGTGTTTCTCAGGGAATGTTCCGGCTTCCGGCCGTCTTCATCCTGCGAGGAAAAGAGGAAAAAAGGGATGTTGAAAGTGGAGCAAAATGGGTTTTTACGGAGCGGGAACGCCCGGCCGCTGTGGGGGGAGGTCTCGTATTTGATAAGACGGGACGAAACTCGTATGAATTTTGGGTTTGAATCATAACTTTGAGTTTGGGTTGAATTCAAATTTCAAAATTCTGATTAAATTTTCAAAGTTATGATTCGAATTTCAAAACTAGGATTCAAATTTCAAAACTAGGATTCAAATTTCAAAACTAGGATTCAAATTTCAAAACTAGGATTCAAATTTCAAAACTAGGATTCAAATTTCAAAACTAGGATTAAACGGTCACCTTCACGCAGGCGTTTGCCGAGTTACTCCTGCTGCTCGGCAGCTCCTGGCGAATCCTCCTCTTCCTCTTCCTCCTCCTCTTCCTCCTGCTCGCCGCACGCGGCCGGTGCCGCCTGGCCCACGGCTGCTTCCTCCTCCTCCTCTTCCTCCTCCTCTTCTTCCTCCTCTTTGGCCTCTTGGCCCTCGGTTTTCCTCTCCGGCGAATCCGCTGCTTCCTGCGGAGCTTCCGAATGGGCCGGCGGCTCCTCCGGGCTCTCCCCCGGAGCCGCTTCCGAGGGCTCCGGCGCTTTCACGGGCTCCAGCACTTCCGAAGGCTCCGGTGCTTCCGAGGGCCCCGGCGCTTCCAAAGGCTCCGGTGCTTCCGAAGGCTCCGGCGCTTCCGCGGGCGCTGCCTCCGCGTCCTCCTCTTCCATCTGCTCGTCTTCGTCTTGCAGGAACGGGGGCATCAGCAGCTGCTTGGGGCGATCCTGGTCCCCAACGTGCTTAAGGAACTCTTCCCCTTTGGATAACTCTCCGGATAATTCT